CCCACACACACACACACACATGCACACATACTCACATACACACGCACATATTACATGCATACACATACACACATACACACACTCACACACACGCACACACACACGCACATACACACGCACATACACACACAAACACACACACACACACACACACACACACACACACACACACACACACATACACACTGACATACACACAAACACACACACACACAAACACACACACACACATACACACACACACCTATTGTTGAAATATGTTCCCTCTATAACCGATACCCTCCTTAACCGAGTGACTTTGGTAGTCTAGTAGTTCGGTTTCCTGACTCGTAAGATCGTAAGACTGCAGGTTCGGGGTTCGAGCCTCAGCTCGGTCGGACGCTGTGTACTTGGAAAAGACACTTTACTTTACACGAATTTCCGATCAGGCTGCGTCCTATCGGGGATGGACGTTAAATTCGAATGTGCCTCTTTTCAAATAAGGTTTCAGGGCTACAAGAGGTATTCCGCCTATACAAATGTCCATTCCTTTATCTCTGCTTCATTTTCTTTTTCCAGCTGGTTTCCAGTACCTTGTCTGATAGGGAAGTCTTGTTTTCGGCATTCTTAGAACATGTCATATATATCTCCCATCTTCTCCTTTTTATCATTACGTTGATATCTTCAATTCCAGCTCTTCCCAACACTTCATTATCTGTAATAAATTCATTCCAGTTTATTAATTATTTTCTTCGTCAACATTTTGTTTGCAAGCTTTTAAATATTCGTTGAAATGCTTAATATTGTTTTCAATATCTCTGAACCATACTTCAGTACAGCCAAAATTGCTATCATATCTTTTTAATTTCGCCTTCAATGAAATGATCTTTGACTTCTAGAGATCTAGTTGGTTTTTAATTTGACAAAAGCGGTGCAGGCATTTTTTTTTATGTCTTTGGTAGACGTTGTCAATGCAGCCATGGCATGAAATACTTACATTTAAATCCAATCTCCAAATTAAGTTGAGAAAAAGACGGACAGGATAATACCCACCCACTCAGGAATGAGTTTTATTGATCGTGGAAGGAACTCGACACTTACTGAATGGTTGAATTGTATGTACTGACGGTGAGGCGGGGGTGGAGGG